ATATTGTTATGGTAATGCGCAGGCAAACATTTCTCCCGTGCGAATGTGTGGAACGCCATTTCCCCCAGTCCTTGATCGGCATTGTACCCTGTAGTGACTACGATACATTTTTGGGTATTGCTACAAAGGAATCGGATATTTCATTTATCAATAAAAGTGTAGCAGGCCAATGTTGTGACGCATCACATTTTATGGGCTCACCATAGGATCGAAATCTACGAAATCTACGGATGTTGTGCACAATATAGGTACATAAAAAACTACTATAACATTGCTAAAAGTGTTCGAATCGCCGCTCACGAAATAAAAACCAAAGCTCACGCCCGCTTTCTGAGACACTGATCATCGTAGATGTCAACTAATCAGTTCTCAAATGGCTTTTCAAATGTCATTTGTGTTGCCAATACGATGGTTAGTGTTACAGAATCCCAGCGTAAACATTATAAAATCTGTGAAAGTATTTTAAATAGCAATGATTTTAACCTCCTTTGACAGATTAAATTTAATTGTTGTGGGCCTGTATCATGTAACGCAAGCACTACTTTGTAAAAAATACTTGAACTATTGACGCAGCGATCTTTGTCTAAAAAAATGTTGTAACGGTGTTCCATTTCACCTCGCATTGTGCGCAATTCCGCCCAATAGCATCGATAGCTAATTTATTAGCTGACACAGATTGAACAGTTAAAACGTTTCAAAACTGACGTGCAACTGCACGCATGCTTTGGACGATTTCGCGCCAAATACAGATGACAGCTGTCAAAATAAACTTAAATGATCATGATGAATGATATGAAAAATAAATATAAAAGAAGCGTTGAATTGAAAGAAGGTACATGAATTTATTTGGGTACGTTGTTATTAGAAATAAAACCGTTTAAAAACTTTAAAATTAAACGGTTTTATTTTATGTGGACTGAAAACTACAATATTGTATTGTCATCTAAATTAAATGTGTGTACCAAATTTCAGATCAATCTAACAACGGGAAGGTGCTTAAATTTCAATTTCTAATTTTGACCCAAATAAATAAACAAATAAATTCCGTACGGGTCGAGCTAAATAAAACCGTTTAACTAGTTGACATTCGTTGATGGAGTAACTTTTAAGCGCTGAAGACACAAAGGCGTCAAACACGAGGAGCATATTTTAATTAGCCAATGATGTGTCATTTTTATCATGACATTATTGTTTGTAATCTTTTTGTAGATTAGACGCAGTATGTTTTTTTTAATGTCAATTTCTTTCAACGAACGATGCGGCCTCATCAAAGTTCACTCATTGTAAATTTTAATTGGGCGTACCATATGATATTATATGCTTTACTTATTAAAAGTAATGGGCATCCAGCACCGGTCGTGACCGTTAATAAGAGGCGATTTACGAAAAATCTTTTTTGATTATCCGCTAATGAATATTGTCTCGAAAATGAATGAAACACCGTGGCGCGCGGTTCAACGACACAAAAAAATATTTGGCACCAGTTCGAGCTGGAATGTCGGCCCTTCGGTGTTAAGAAGCGTACACACGCCTACCGGAATATAAACTAAGAGGTAATGAACGTTAAATGTACTCATTTTCCCACGTTTTATTCCGTTTAAAATTCCCTACGTTTCCAAAGAACTTAAATGTAGGTATAAAGTAATTAATATATAACATATAAATTAAAATAACAATATTTATTCTAAAGTGACACCATCACACAAGTTTATTATCATCTTTATAATATACGTTTCTTGAAAATCATTAAATAGTAGTTTTTTATGTGAAAAGTTGGCAAACGAGCTGGCAGTTCACCCGATGTTAAGTGATTATCGCTGCCTATGGACATTTACAGCACCTGAGAGTTTGCGTTACTGACGATTAAAGAAGTGGGCTCCGCTACCGTGGGTAAGTCACTCAGCGTAAAAAAAGTATAATAGTTCGCGTTTCGCGAAGATATATGAGGACAATGACCAGAGGCCTGATCCGGTAGGGGGCGCCTCTTGGGGGTCGGGCGAACGAAATCGGCGGGTAAGTTTCGTTAAATTTTAATGAAAAATAAAACTTTATTACCAATAAAATGGGCATTAAGTGTGTTTTACGGCGTGGGGAAGGGCCAAGTCGTAAAAAACTGCCGTGCATACATTGACATACAGTAAAATTGGGAATCTGCAGCACAATAAACAGGATACCGGGGCTGAGGGCCCGTGGATGAAGACATCGCGACATTACTGCGCCGTTCACACTGAATTTTTTTACTTCTGACGAAGTCAGACTAAGCAAAGTTACCCCGCTGTCTGTCTGTCCCTATGTATACTTAGTAGATCTTTAAAACTACGCAACAGATCTTGATGCGTTTTTTTACTAGATAGAGATTATTCAAGGAAGGATTTAGAGAAAGGTTTATATGTATGATACATTGCACCCGTGCGACCGGGGCGGGTCGCTAGTCCTCAATATAAGACGATTAGATATATGATAGAAATGACTACATCACTAGGGTTTGTGTAAATAAATTCAGTACATTTTTATTTTCTTTAAATTCTTTCCATCATGGCTGGTGTAACAAAACCGGGAGAAGCTATCTCATAGCCCCATGGGGATGTGACCGATTACAGCGTCGGACCGAAATAAATACGATTCTAACGTAATTATCGTAAGTTTACCCTTTATTATGGTCTCTCTAATCAGAGTTGTCAGTCTTGACTTTACACAGACACATAACCACATTTGTCACGAAGAAATATAACTAAGGAATTATAACGGTGGTAGCGCCACGCAGCAGTCTCGGCTGTTGCACGCTTACCACCTTCTCACATAAAAAAACATATGGCTAAAATATGTAAAACATATAAAAGCTTACTCTGATTAAGTTTTATTTTAATTATTAATAGAAAATTATATCTTCCATCGTGACGTCGTCGCTAATTTGGACTCGAGTGTCGAAACGAATGGGGTAAACTAGCCGGAGTCCCGGTTGAGTCATTTGGGCGGGAAATGTAACCGCAAACTGTGCATGTACAACCTCACAGAAGACCGATAAACGGCGACAGTATGCATTACAACGGCTTGTTGTTGGGGCATCATGGATGCATCATGGATGCTGTGATGTATTCGCAACTACGGAAATAGAAGTATCTGATTACCACCACAACCTCACAGAAGACCGGCGCGAAGTAGAAGTTACACTTTTGCGTTTCGTCTGGTGAGTGAGGAAGCCGGTGCCCAATTTATTAAAAAGTGGCAACGCACCTGAAACCCTACGGGTGTTGCAAATGTCCATGGGCGTCGGTTATCACTTAACATCAGGTGAACCGCCAGCTCGTTTGCCACTTTATTAAAAAAAAAAGATATGAGACGAAATTCTTTAAATCTTTGCGACGTATTTTTTTTAATTATGGCAATTTTATTATGTTACGTTTACAGCATTAATCATGATGTCGGGATAGTGAAATAATGAACCGCAAGTTTTGGCGACGAATTATCTCCGGATAAGTCGTGGATGCCCAGTAAAGCCTGCTCTCTCGCACCTTACACAATAAAAAATTAATTTGTCTAAACTAACGAATATTACAGTTCTCTCTTTCTGACTTCAACTTAGGAACATTCCACCGGTGTTGAGAGGAGTCATTAACGGCTCGAGTTCTGCAACTCGTCCGACATTGGCGCGATAAAATAGTATGAGTGACCGCCTTTAGATTTCAAGAAGTGCCGTAAACTCCCGCGATTTGTGTACGAAGTTGCGACGACGCCATTTTGTTTAATAAACACCGACTAATAGTAAAAGTTGTCGACACAATAGTTTCCATTAGGTCCTCTTTTTAAAGTATTGCATAAATATTATAAAAATGTTTATGTGACATCTTCACTTCGCAACTGCTGTATGGGATCGCATAAAATTTGACATGGAAATAGCTTAAAACGCTGGATTAATAAACGCCATTTCCGCTTAGAAAGGGAAAGTTTATTTCTAAACGACGTGGACAAAGCCGAGTGAGATATACAGATCAAAATAACTTAAGCATAAGTTGATCGTCGTAATCTTTTTACAGAGAATCTCCGGATTCGAACCGGGGATCTTTATCGCGGCTATTTGCACGAAACCGGACTCACTGGCTGCTTCCGTTGCGTGGAAGATGAATTTCGTGATTCGTTTTGTTGCAGTTTAAGAGCGCTAACTTTGAAGCCACGAACAACGAGATGTGACAATTTGACATATTCTAATCGAACATAACCGAGGAGTGGTCTACTGTCTCACTTTTGACTTTGCGATTTCTACTGCGATAGGGCCACGCAACAGTTTCTAATGTTGCACGAATGGGCAGGCTCCGGGGAAGTACAACGAAAGGTACTCCTCACGGAAGACCAGCGTGATGTGGAAATATACTTTCTCTTTTCGTCTGAAGAGTGCGGTAGCCGGGTCCCAATTTAATGATTGGTAACGCAAAGCAAACCCTCAGGCGTCGTAGATGTTCATGGGTGGTTTTGGAGATAGCATCAGGTGTACCGCCTGCTCGCTTGAACTCTTCGTATGTAAGATGTTATACTTATTTAGCGTAACAAAAGAAAAATAACTAAAAATGGGTGGGTGTATTTAAAAGAAATAGAGTAATGATAAATAAAGGTTTGGTTCAGTTTATTCGCCGATGACTAAATAACACCTAATCGAATGCGTATTATTGTTATAAGCTGCTAGCGACCCGCCCCGGCTTTGCACGGGTGCGATGTATTATACATATAAACCTTCCTTTTGAATCACTCTTTCTATATTGTTTTCTTGATTTTACGCGAATATTATACATATTAAATGAAACTAGTTTACGGATTTTAGTTTCACTCTTTCTAGTTAAAAAAACCGCATTAGATCCGTTACATAGTTTTATAGATCTAAGCATACATAGGTGCAGACAGACAGCGGGACGACTTGGTTTTATATAATGTTGTGATATTACGCTGCGTGTAAGTGTTCAGATGCTGATCTTCGATATTTTGTGTGCTCGTAAGCCGTGGAGTCCATCATGTGCCTTAACGAAAAGAAGACAAGGTGCGTTACATTACTTTGGTTACGAGAAAGTGTCATCGATTCTAATAATAAGTAATCGTAATCGGCGCTAGCGTTGGCCGACCCGTCCGCGCCCCGCGTGTGCACGCGGCAGTGACAATGCGAATTGCAAATGAACGGCCATTCATTACTTCGCCGGACGGTTTTTACTTTATTTGCGAGCACTAACTGAGAGGCGACATCCTGCCAGAGTACGGTCGGCAGACGCGTGCTTAGACAATTGGCGCGGATAAACCGGTCGGGAGCAACGTTATAGCGAATCAACCTTAGACCGAACGAATTAGACCCATCTGAGACGGCACAAATGGAGTGCGATCCTGATCGCCTCTTCGGATAGTTCTGATTGTACAGGCTTTTCGATGTTACAACAGTATTATTATTATTATTATTATTAATACGAAAGTATGTGTATATTTTGGTGGTACTCGCTTCTTCATAAGTTTCACGGTCTTATGCTGCTACACAGACCTTTACTTATTTATTCATTTTTTCGTTTTTGTTGTTAAATTTACATTTATTTAAAAAATTTCCAATATTATTTTATATACTGTGTAGTTACATTATTTTCAAAGGTTTCTAAGTTAGACCATGAATAAACATTTCTCCTTCTTCTTCTTTTTCTTCATGAGCATGGTACACGCTAGCCCAGTTTTTAAAGGTTCCCCAGACAACACCACTTTATATTACCATACTACCGCCTTGCTCCCCCCTTCAGCAACCAAGAATTAGATCCGCTATCTATTAGTCCAAAAGGTCGACTTTCACACACATTGGCCTCCGACCTGGTGATGTGGTCACGTCCAAATATATCACGACGAGCGCTGTGTTCCGCTCTTGAAAAGGGGGACAGCTCTGCCCGCGACTCGCTAACTATAACTGCGTACGTGACTTTTTGTTTCGCGTCTAGTGAATTTGGGACGGGGCTGCGTAAGCCGCCATCACCGGAGACGTTGCCAGGCCGCTGGCTGGAAATAGGCTAGGAGGGGCTCGTTAGGCGGTTGCTAATCGAGGGGGGAAACCAGCTTCTAGAATAGCATCGAAGCTTCGAAGTGTAGACGGCTGAAGTAATTACTTGATTATCTTTACGTCGGTACAGCTACACACTACCTTCTGTTGCACGAATGGGCAGGCTCCTTCGGCGAAGTACCAAGTCCTCACAGAAGACCAGCATGATGTAGTGATACTTTCGCGTTTCTTCTGGCGCGTGAGGTGACCGGAGCCCAATTGTTAGAGGCTCTCAAGCCAATTGCAAGCCCTCAGTGTTGTAGGTGTCCATGGGCGGCGATAATCACTTAACATCTAGTGAACTGCCTTAAAAAAATATGTCGCGAATGTCTAGTACGATAACTGATGCCCGATGTACTCACGCTGTGTCACACTTACAACGCGTTAATATTCTTTAGAACGATCATCGTGTCTTGACGAAGGCAGTGTTTAGAGATCCTAACAATAATACTTTCTATGCCCCTTCTAAATTTATTAATAAAGTTAACGAGAAAAAATATTGGGTTAATACCGAAATAATTGTTTCTTGAGTTGGATTAAATTAAAATATGCAATAACGAGCGCTTCCTAAATGAAAATTGACACTCTAAAAACTGATGAACGTACATCGGTTTTGTAATACACGTCGCATGTTTCAAATTCGCTCTAAAAACCTCAAATAATATAGTTAAAATTGCCTACAATTGTCTATTAATATTACATTACTTTCGTGTGAATTTTTGTTAGAAAGCCATACTTGATTCCACGTCGACTCTGTCAACGGTACAGAAAGGACGACTGTGGGAATCTTGCGCGGGCGTCATCGCTAATTTAGCGCAAGCATGCATGCACGCTTGCCTTTTTGCTCGCTTGTTTACATTTCGGTAGTGAGCGTATGACATCTATAGGCGATGTGCAGTTGAATGGACGGATAAAATGTTTTATTACATTCACGAACGTTCCACGGCACTTAGTTTTAGGACATTTCGATGGTGTCGTTCTGCGGTCAAATCCCAACCTGTTCTTATATAAATAATTTCTACACAACGTCCTCTAGTCCCAAACAAAGCAAAGGTACTGTAGGTATATATATATATATATATATATATATATATATATATATATATATACACATATATATATATATATATATATATTATGTTATAATATATATGTCATACATATTTCGACGACCCGAATGGCGTAGTGGGTAAGGTACCTGCCTTCTGCGCCAGAGGGTGTGGGTTCGATCCCCACTACTGGAAAAATATTGTGTGATTGCGTTCCTACATCCACAAACGCAGTACCAACACTCCCCCCGCGATTCCACCTCGCTTGTAGAGAGTGGCTCAACCTCTCCAGCCTACCGAGCAGATCTCTCGGGCAGTCCTTATAGCATAGACCGACCCGTTGATCCTTCTACCTTTACCATGCTACTGCTACGCACTTGCTTCTCTGATATTTGTAAGAAAGAAAGAAATAAAATAAAAGAAAGAAAATACCTTTAATTATTAAAAAAAGATTATTATTTTAGATGTCCATACACAGCGTTGATCTCTTACCATCAGGAACCATTTACTCGTTACCATCTTCTCTAATAAGAACTATAGTTCTAATGACGCCGATTGCATTAAGCCCCCAACGAGGTCGCGAGTTAGGAAGTGCCTTATCGAAGATTAGGACTATCAATTAACCTTCCCAGCTCACTTCAGCCGATTCCGCTTCACAGAGACACGTCGCACACTTAAATACGAAATATCAATTCCTTTGTCCAATTACAAAAGTGTTTCAATTGTAGCTCAGAACGCCCCTGCGATAACGCCTGTAATTTGTAAAATTGTGTAATGCAAAAATCGGCAAAGTTACATTAGCATGAAATTAACAGTCTCCACACACTTATACGGATAGGCTTATCACCTGTCACGTCCAAATAAGGCCGATGAAACGTAGGCATCATTTGTTATCTCTGTCTATCGCAGATTGGTAGTCTGGTGCAGTCAACTGACAACCAAGCTTGTTGTGAAGGTATTTATGACAGTAGAACAATGTAATCTGCTAACAAAAAAATAAACGATAAGAAATTGTAAACGGAATTGTCACAATGACAAAATTAAAAAATATATGTGTGTGACGAACAAAGTGTTTTTCCAGTGTCTGGGTGTTTATAAATGTATAATATGTATTTATTTACAAAAAAAAAGTATGTTTAAATATTTTTTTTACGTGAAAAGTTGCCAAACCAGCAGACGGTTCACCTGATGTTAAGTGAATACCGCCGCCCATGGACATCTGCTACACCCGAGGGTTCCAGATGCGTTGACAACCTTTTGAAAATTGGGCTCCGGCTACCTCACTCACCAGTCGAAACACGAAAGTATTTGGTCATACTTCCACTTTACGCTGGTCTTCTGTGAGGTCGTGGTACTTACCCGGGCGGGCCTGCCCATTCGCGCAACAGCCGAGGCTGCTGCGTGGTAGGGCCACGCAGCAGCCTCGTTAATGCAGCCTCCCCATATGTTAATCAGTTATTTATTATCCATAGTACAAGCGTTGCTTAGTTTGGGAATAGAGAACGTTATGTAAAAATGTGTCCTAAAATATTTATTATGTTTAATTATTATTAATTACATTTTGTGTTGTATAGTAGTTTATTGTGTTGTAACATTTGGTATACCAAAAGTTATAACCTTATATAGTAATTATTTTTTAATGCTTGTTTATTAAAGAATTTACCTTTTATCTTGATACGAACCTATCCCTATTTATATATAAACTTTCTCTACACCGTCCTAAAGTGGAAAATGGCCCTTCCACAGTTAAAGCTTTTTAATTACAAAGTGTATTCACTTTGACATTAGAAATCATCACTAAAAGAATGTTGCTCCAATGACCCGGTGCATGGAATCTTTGGTTCCGGGTTTGATTCTCGCTTGAGACGTGTACTTATGATCATTTTTTTATTAAAAACAGAGAGTAGAAGGGCAGGAGGCTCTCCTGATGGAAAGTGATAGGAAAGAATATGCTCTCTTCTTGAAGGTTCCCAGGTCGATATACAACTGTTGCTGATTCAGGCGTTTGCGAAACACCCAAAAACCTATCTTTTTGGTATTTATTATTTATCGGTATCGAAGATTAGTTAGCATTTAAAAATTATATCGGTCTTTTTCTCTGGCGCGCCCTACTTATCAATGCCCTTGATTTGATTAGTCGATCCGTAATTATTTAAGCATTTTTATAATGGCTTTGTTGTCAAATGTCAGATATGCCCATCGCTTTGTTTATGATTGCTCAGTGACTGGGTTGTGGGGTGCGTTATGGATTCGAATCCGGCCTTAACGCGTCATAACTTTTTTAATAAGAACTTGCTAGTATGACAGTTCGCTCTTTTTACTCGAGGGTAATAGACTGACAATGACTCAATGGCCTGTTTCGGTGTTGAAGTTTTAGGCTTCTTTAGTACCGGTCACAGGTTTGAGTACCGCGCGTATTAAATTACCAACCTATTTTGTTATTTTCCGGACTTATTTGCTCTCGAATGATATTGTAGTTATGTAATAACCAACGTGTACACCGCTCAGGCATAACCTGCAATGAGGAAAGTGTTTAAAGAAATATGATCACTCCGTTACGCCACAGTCTGTATATATAACTCGTTCACATAAACGTGGATAACTGGTTGCGATAAAGCTTTCTTATCTGATAACGTTTAGAACTCCTACTGAGGACCGAAAAATGTGCATAAAGCAATCGCGTATGCTTGGAGAAGCCCGACAATAATAGTTTTATTGTTAAATAAAACTAATCAACGAATATTATCGCGTCTATTTTTGGTCTATACCGATGTCTCGAACACTTTACCAAGTCCATGGAGATTAAAAATTAGTTAAGACCGTCTGTCCCTGTATAAAAAATGTCCTCCCAAGTAGCGAGTGTCCCGCTTGCTTGTTTGTCCTTAAATAAAATAAAATAAATATAGTCGTATATATACACATATTTAAACTAACCGTTGAACATAACTTTCTTTGGTAAATAAATACAGATATGAGATATATAAACACCAAGAATTCGTTAGACGTTTCATCGTACAACTTTTTCCAGTAGCGGGGGTAACCTTACGGTGAGTTGTTTAACTGTGGGTCACGGCTAAGACTTAATTAAAAACCGGCCAATTGCAAGTCGGGCACACGTAAAAAGGGATCCGTAACATTATATATAAAAACGAAATATATGGGAGTCCAACTTAGTATTTTTACTTATAGCGTGTTTATTTGTATTTTTCGTTACAGCGGCAACAGAAATACATCATCTGTAAAAATTTCAACTGTCTAACTATCACGGTTCATGAGATACAGCTTGGTGACAGCCGGACAGATTTTGACTTCCTCTTCTTCAGACTTTGGGTACGGAACCCTAAAAATGGGGTGGTCATTAACAAAGGCGTAATAAGCTGTTCGTGTGATGAGGTAAGAAGATAACATAATCTTATTCTTACTGGCTGTCAATCTGGCCGTATCGACAGTGGTCCAAACTACGACGCTCACCTATTCCCAGTACGCGACAATTCGCGGTTATCGACCACGTTTCTTATTTAGATTCCTATCTTATTACAAATATAAGCCGCAGATAGCGCGGAATGGCGTAGCGGCGACTGTACACCCTATCGCAGTCGGAATAAGGCCGACATCCGCCTGCTCTAGGATAACGTCGCGTCTTGTCGCATTATCTTATCGCAACGTGATTAACCCAGTTTACGAAGAATGCGTGAAACGTTCGGTTTCGGAGAGCCGTGAGCACGTCGCCAGGAGTGGAAACGACGGTAGGGGACGCCCTTTGCGCCGGGACGGCAGATTAACCGTGGTAGGGCCCCGCAGTTTCTCGGCTGTTGCACGAATGGGCAGGTCCGTCCGGTGTACCTCGACCTCACGGAAGACTGAAGTGGTAGAGTTATATTTCTGCGTTTCGTCTGGTGAGTGAGGAAGCCGGGACCACTTTA